CTGGTGAGATGGCTCAGTGGTCTAAAGCACCTACTTAGAACAAGCTTAGCAAAGCACAGGGACCGCGGTTCAATCACCCAGCACCACATGCCAGCCAGCCCCGCCCCCAGGCGGGCTGAGCTGGCCACACACACACACACACACACACATATAAATAAGTAAAATTTTAAAAAAATTTATTGTAGTCTGCCTACCAAGCACAAGGTCTTGAGTTTAATCCCTGGGACCAAAAAAAAAAAAAAAAAGTAGTAGAGTGAAAGATGCATTGCCGTTAATCCCCCTCCAAATACTCCCTGTCCCTTCAAACACACTTCTGCCCCGTCATGTTTGCCACTTCCTGAAGCAGTTCTGGAAGTCCTTTTCAAGTCTCTACAAGGTGTGATAAAAAATACAATGCAGGCTGCTGCTCCATGCCGCCCAACAGGAAGTCAGCCTCCTTACTAACCAGGTCTGGCATGGTGTGACTTTGGGTTCTTCCCCAAAGCCAGAATGACCTTGAAAGGTCAACATTTTGAAGCGATTCTTGATATGGAGACAGCCACACAGCCAACTAGAGACACTCACTAAGAGAGGACTCCAGATCTGCTCCAGAAGTGGTGAGCTGGTGGCTGTAGTGTGTTTGAAGTGGGTGGGAGGATTTTGAAGGGAATAGACAGCAATGTGCTTTTAACATAGTCAACCTTTTAAACCCTAAAATACCCACTGTAGTTTTTGGTCACACCTTGTATGTAAATCATAAGTACACCATGTGGTGCTTTTCACCAAGTAAGCATACAGACGTAATCAGTACCCAGATGACAAGACAATGGTAAGAACCCCGAGTCTCCTCTTTCAGTCAGTCCCATTCCTCTGGACCCTTCACACTGACTCCAAACGTGAAGATCGATTTGTTTGTGTTTTTCCAGAGTTTACTTTAACTCTATAGTTGAGTTTTGTTGTGAACCACAAGGCTATAGCGATCATCCAGGTATGGCAAGCTGGTAACTATTAGAAAGCCACCCTCAGCCTTATTCATTTCCTTGCCTCTTGTCACAGGTGTTTCTCTTGATCCAAAATGAGAAGTTGAAAAATGATTACGTTTACCTCAGTTGGTTAGCGCGCTGCTGTGAGTCCTCTTTTAAACATTTACAGTAGGAATCCTCTTTCTTTCTTATTGCATGATCTGTTTGGAAAGTAGACTGCTTTCTGTCTTTGCATTTTGTTCTATACAGTGAGTAAACACAGCTTAAGTAAGACTCATAATGCTACCAGTAGGTGTTGCTGTCTCAATCACTGTTTCATGGTGGAGACAAGCCCTGCCTCTGAGTTGCACCTCCAGCCGAGCTTGATCAGTTGAGGAGAACAGCACCCCATTGCCCAGTCACCTCCCGAAGCCACCTTTGAACTCTTGAGGCTCTTGGGGGATGTCTAGATCCACGCCATAGCAACTATCATGTCTGTGTGTTGTATATCCGTGATTAGTTTCATCATTCAACATTGATCTTCTATGTAAGGCCTGAAAGAGGTCAAGTTCTTTCAGTTCTGTTCAACTTTCTAGGCTTGCAGCATGCACTGGTGTTTTTGAAATGATACTGTTACATTGACTTTGCTTTTTCATTTTTCTGAAATGAGAAAAAATGTCAAAAATGTAATTTTTTTGTACATTATAGCCCATAATCTTTCTGTCTGCCTGCCTATTATTGTGCTTTCATGTTCCTTATTTTCACTCAGATTTAAATTTTTCACTTTTTTTTTTTTTTTAAAACAGGGTTTCACTATTAGTTCAGGCTGGCTTTGAACTCACTACTCACTACTGTGTAGCACAGGTGGGCCTCGCACTCATGGCAGCCCACCTGTCCCAGCCTGCAAAGGGCTGGGATCGCAGGCGTGCACCACCACGCCTGGCTTTTCGTTAAGTTTCATGTGGCCACAGGAAAAAGTTACCAGTTAGATACTCTATATGAGGCTGAAATAACGAGTACAATTGAATGATAATAGTTGGCCTCTTTTAAGCAGATTGGCAAGGCAGAAAACTGCTAGAAGCCAAGCCAATCCAAAAAGACATGATTAAGTGGCTCTTAACTATGCCAGGCAGGGTGCAGCTCGGGCAGGGATGCGGCTGAAGGCCAGTGCTCCCCGCTTTCCGCGCAAGAGGTGTTCACCATAGCTTTGTGCGCTTGGGCTACGCATTGCTCCCTAGACGGAGTGGTGCAGAAGCCATTTCCCAGTGACACTTTAAAACGTTGTTTCCTTTTGTAGATATCATGAATAAGAAGCCAAGACTGGCCTGGGAACTGTATCTCAAGATGGAAACCTCTGGCGAGTCCTTTAGTCTCCTACAGCTCATTGCTAATGACTGCTACAAGGTCAGTTTATGCAAGGAAAGTTGGGGACCAGCAGCACATGGGTGACTGGCTAAATCCCACGCCACAGAAAGTGTCCTGCAGGTTAGGTGGCTATTGCTGGGATTTGCATAGTAATATCAGAAATGTCACCCTTTTTATGAATTAACTGAACTCAGAAGTAGGAGGTGTTTCAGTTTTACATGTATAGGAAATAATGATGTAAAGAAAAGGTTTCAAGGTTCTAAAGGTTCGAATTTTTAGGTACTATCCAGCTAGAGGTATTCATGTGTTGGCTGAAAATTTGAAAATCAAGAAAGATATTTTGGGCTGGCAAGATAGCTCAGTGGACTAAGTGCCTGCTTAGGCAAATACAGGGACAGGGTTCAGTCCCCAGCCCCACATGCTACACAGGCCCCATCCCCAAGCACAAGACCAGGCATGATGCTGCACACCTGTAATCCCAGCACTAGGGAGGCTGAAAACAGGATCGCTACGAGTCCAAGCTGCATAGTGAGCCCCTGTACCAAAAACATAAATGAAAATATAAATAACCAAATAAAAAGCAGTCATGTTGCTGGGTGTGGTAGTGCGCACCTGTAATCCCAACACTCAGAAGGACAGAAGGAGCACCATGAGTTCAAGGCTAGCCTGGGCTCTGTAGCAAGACCCTGTCTCAGAAACCAAGGAAACAGACAGTCATGTTTATGAAAGGACTCATGTGCACATTGTGTGTGCGCGCGCGCACGTGCGCGCACGCATGTGTGCACATGTGTATGGGGTGAAGGAAGAACAGTACAGGGTGCAGGTAGAGTTTTGGACCTCATGTAGAGTAAAAGTTTTCTTTAAAAAAGCCTCAAATTCTGGAAATTTCTATTTTGGGATATTTCATCCTATCGAAAAGATGGGGAAAGATCAAGTAAAAAGAGGCTAGTGTGAAGTTGTCAGCAAGAGCCCACATCAGAGTGAGTCACTACCAAGAAGAGAAGTGTGTCACCATCAGCGGAAACTTGACAAGCCAGTGGCTGGCTGAGGAGGCAGAGGTGGAGAGCTCTGGCAGGCAGTCAGTGCTCTGCATTTTCCAGCCGTGAAATCCTAAGTGTCTCTGGGGTGTCCAGGAGACATGGCACACAAGGGCATTGGGGTAGCCCAGGCTGAGTGTTTTCTGTGAGAGAAAGCTCAGGTCCCCCGGGGATGTGGCTCAGAAGCACAGCACCTGCCTGGCAAGCAGGAGGCCCCGCGTCTAACTCCTGGCACCAGAAACAAAAAAAGAAGGTGCCGCTGAAGAAGTCAGTAGAAGTGATGGTAATAGTAATTGCAGTAGTGGGGGCAGAAAGAAAGATTCTCTCCTAAGTGGGGTGAGGAGCCATGTGAAAGAGAGTATTTAAGGGTAGAATAGAAGAATACATGAAAGAGAAAGAGGAAGAACTGTGAGGAAAGAAAAGAATCAGGAACACCCATGTTCCAGCACTTGGGAGACTGAGGCAAGAGGATTGCTTGAGTCAGGATGTTGGAAACCAGCCCAGGAAACATACTGAGACCTTGTCTCAAAAAAAAAAAAAAAAAAGTATCTAAAAAATCAGGAGAGGAAAAAAATGCTTTTCTCTTCTGCTCGTCCCTATTTATCCAAGGCCAGGGCAGCAGGAGTGGTAGTGCACAGCTGTGATCTCAGACCTTGGGGGGCTAAGGCAGGAGGTCACTGTAAGTTCAAGGCCAGCCTGGACTATACAGGGAAACCCTGCCTCACAAAAAGAAAAGGAAAACAAACAAACAAAAGAAGCCAAGGAAAGGGCAAGTCAGATTCTTCAGTACGCTAGAGAGGCACAAGGACTAGGAAGATGTGGCAGGTACAGAAAAGAGTCCCAGCAGAAAGTAGACTCAGCCAGTGAAGTGCAGACCACAGCCTTAAAAATATTGTTGTTCAGGACAAGAAAAATGTCTTGCTAACCTAAAAGAGAAACCAGCGGGGCCGGAGAGATGGCTCAGTAGGATAAGCGTTTGACTGGCAAACGCAAGGATCTGAGTTCAATTCCCAGTTCTGCCGAGAGAGAGAAATTTAGAATGGGGTGGGTGGAAAATTCATTGCCTTTTAGAACCATGGGTAAGTACTTGCAGGTTGAGGAAAAGGAGCATTGAACAAAGACAGAAAAGATTCAAAGAAGGAGGCATTATTGATGGAAGAAGGCACTAGAGGAGATGAGGAAGGGATAGGGTTGAAATTAAAGGAAGGCAGCCCCTTCTAGAGACAGCGCCACACTGCACTGTCAAGAGTCCACTGGTCCCACAAGCACCTGCTGGTTTGCTGGTTCACTAGGGGAGTCGTACACATGACGCACGCTCACATACAACCTGGTGACTACACTTCTGCACGTTTATCTCAGAGAAATGGAAACTTGTATCTAAGCAAACACATAGGTATTAACAACAGGAATTTAATATACTAATGTTACCCCCAGCTCTATTTATAACAACCTGAAAGTGAAAGCAACTAGAGTCTTACAATGTAAAGTGAGATGCATGGATAAGACTGATCGCAGGGCAGAGGCAGGGAAAGCTTACGTGTAGGGAAGCCTGGAGGAGTCCAAGCCTAGCTTTCTTGTCCTCCCTCCGCAGGGGCTGTGCGGGCACAGCCTCCCCCAGCTGCATATTGTAGGGTTCTGTGTGAGACACACTCATCCAGGAAAAACAGACAGCAAGTGGGGGCATGGCGAGAATTAAGCCTTAGCGTGTAAATCACTGCATCAAATGTAAGTGGTCTAAATACTCAAAAGACAGATACTGAGGCTGGGTCTAGTGGTGCGTGTTTGTAATCCTAGTACTCTAGGAGGCCGAGGCAGGAGAAGCACACTTAGCAAGCCCCTGTCCCACAATAAAAGTGTGTGGGGATGGAACTGAGTGTGAATGCCTTGTTATACCTCCAGGACCAGCAATGAAGAAAAAACAGAATAGAT